ATTTTTTATCCATAAAAACAAAGGTTTTTTCAGTTGAAAACTAGGCCAAAAGAAGCATGCAAAGATGGCTATACAAGTACACTAAGAATGAGCTCAAGAGGAGAAGAGTCTTACCCTTAAAGCTCAGCACCAAAACAGGTCCTTCTTGGACCAAAATCAGCCTTAGGAGCTCCAAATACACCTCCAAGGATCACCTCTTCAAGATAGGAAAGTTTGATCAAGGGTGGAGGCTCAAGAAATGGGAAGAACACTCACTTTTGGGCACTTATATGCTTCTATACACACAATATAGGAAAAGAAAGAGAGAGAGAGAGAGAGCTGAGAATTCTAGAGAGAGAGGAAATTTTTTTTTGCTCAAAGTTGTATCTCTCCACTTTTTTTTTGTTAGAGAGCTTGATTGATATAGAAATATATCAATCTGCAGCTCCTCAGAACACCCACGTCCAGGTATGGGTTGGGGTATGGCATAGAATGACAGCCAGCTGTCTACAGAGATATTTGTTGAAAACCACACTTGGCCGACCGGCAGTCAAACTGGCCGGCCGACCATCACATTTGGCTGATTGAAAAGAAAGGTGGCCGGTGGGCAAGAGACTTGGTCGACAGGCCATCTCCTTCTCTCAGGAACACATCCACAAGCTCTTGGTGCAAAACCAGACACAAAACAGAGAAGTTAAGAGATTCTAAGGCAAGGCGCGCAGCCAAGACTTTTCGAAACTCAAAATGAACACAAACAAGGATGATCACCGAGTGTTCAAACGGTGGCGTCCAAGTCTTGAGGACAGTAAAAAATGGGGTGTCTACACTTGGATGCTATAATCTCATTATCATTGATTCCTGTCATTTCTGCATCTAAATTTATATGAACACTCCTCGTGCTGCTTACAAGATCTCATTCTTCTTTGTTCATAGCTCATTCTGAATGCCTTGCTCATTGAATTCATAATATCATTCTGTACACATCTTTGAGATAAACTGTTGTAGGGGTTTCCACACAAGTGATCAAATTTCTCTATGGATCACTAACAGTGTTTCTTGTACTTTTTCAGAGGAATTGACCTATACTAGCATATCATGGGTGATGTTAAGTCTCCTAACCATCTACCATCGTTTTTCACTTCTACGGTTTCTCCCTCAGTTCATTGAAGTCCTGGCATAAGGAAAAGGCTACCTCAGAGGCACTAACCAGGCCATCCTTTTCGATTTCATACTTTTCTAGTTTGATCTCCATACACTTGAGCGTGCTCACAAGAAAGAAAAGTTGAAAAAAAAAATAATAATAAAAAGGGGACTCATTGATTGAGGGGGAGCCTCCGCGTTTACTCAACAAATACCCCATGATTCCTAGTGGTTTGACTTTTCTCTGTGATGTTTAGTTACTCTTGCCGGAGGTCCAGTCATCTGATCACTACGTGGAATAACTCTAGCTCTGTGGCCTCTCAAGAATTGCACACACACACACACATTCATTTTGTGAGCTCTCATGTTTGTTTTTGAGTTGTGCATTCTCATGTAGCTTATGATCATTGATTAAATTTTATCTGATTTGCTCATGATTATATGCTTCATATTGTTATAATTGCAAGTTTACGGGCTTCATGATTTGTAGATTATTTCATCTTTGTATCACCTTCATTCTATTGTGCTCACTTACTTTTGTTTCAGGTTCCACTTCATAATGTGAGTATTTTGTTTTTGCTCATAAAGTTTTTTTTAGTTTTTTTTTTCTTCTTCGCTCGAGCGAGGGAGTGTACGCTCGAGTGTGCTTCTACAGATGGCTTAGATTCTGAGAGCGTGTTTTTTGGGCTTGCGCGATAAGATTTTGGCTCGAGCGACCCTGTGCACGTTAGTGTCTTAACTCGAGCGACCATTGTCTCGCTCGAGCGACCTATTACGTTTTAAATTGTTCGTCTGTCTTTTCAGACTTCATTTTTCTTTTTCTTTTTTTCCGATTGTTCTCTCTCTCTCTCCTAGGGCGATTACACTCCCATTGTTGCTTACTCCTTGGTTTTCACTCGATTTTTGGGAGGTATTTCTCATCAATCCGTCTTGCATCTTCATCATTGGTAAGTCTTTCCCTTCCTTACTTATCCTCCCTTGTTTTGAGTTTTTACTTTGCTTCGTCTGTGGTTCTAAGGTTCTTCTTCTGTGATGGGTTTGGTACAATTATTTTTAATTGTTTTCCCTCTCTATTGCATCTTGGTTTAGTAATTTGGTACATTTTTTGTTAGGGTTTAAAGTTATGGTTTAAATTAGGGCTTTAATTTCTGTTTATGATTGTCCTGTGTTTCATATACTAATTTATGTGGCCTAAGTGAATTGCACTGATGTTGATACCCTTCATCTTCTATTCTTTTCTTTTTCTTATTGCTGCATTTGTGTCTGTTGGAACTTAACCTAGCTCTGTTCTTCATGTCATTGATATTATGCTATGGTTTTGTGTTTTTTTATTTTTCTAACCCTGTTGGACTAATGATGTTTGATGTGCACTTCTAGTTTTTCTTTGGGTTTCTAATGGGCCTTAGGTGTTATTTGGTTTGGTCTTGTGGTTGTCTTTTCTAATTTTTGGTCAGTCATGGCTGAGCCTTCGAAATGTCATAAATCCATTGTGTCCCGCCCAAATTACAACACTGAAAAATTTGAATCCAAGAAAAAATCCAATCTGTTTTGAGATTTCTATGCCTCTAGGAAAGTTCACCTAGAACAGAATGTCCATCCTAGTGCTTTTGAGTTCATCCCCATCCGTTCCTTGTTTGATTCTTTAGGGGGTGATCAAGTTTTGCTTTTCTTTGGGCCTCAAAATCTCAATCTGGTCCACGAATTTTATTGTAATATGCACTTTATCTGCAAGGAAATTGCTCCCTCTTTTTGCACCTGGGTTAGGAAGAAATCTTTGGTCATCACTGACAAAGTTTTTCGGTTGTTTCTTGGTTTTCCGGAAGTCCGGAATTGCCATTTTCCTTTCATTACTCGCAGTGGTGTTGATTTTGATTAAGTTGCCACTGAACTTTGTGGCACTCCCCGGACTTGGATTGCCGGGGCGCTCATTCAGCAAAATGAGCTTCTTCCTCGTTTTCGGTTTCTTAACATCATTGTTTGTGCCAATATTCATGTGACTACTCATTCATTTCACATTACCCAAGATCAAGCGTCTGTGTTATATTGTATTGACCACCATCTTCCCATTGACTTGCCGGAGATGATAGTCTCCAAAATGATTACGGTTTTTGAGGGTCACAAATCCTTGGGTCTTCTTTATGGATGTTTTCTCACTCGTTTTCTTACTTCTCTTGGTGTTCCCACATTTGATGATGACGAGTTTGCCTCTCCTGTTAAACCCATCACCAAGTTGACGGTCTCACAGAGTCAAGCACATATCAGGGAGGGTATGTCGGGAGTTGGGGTGTCTGGGGTGTTTGACACAGGTGATGATCCCCTTGCCGAGGAGGCGAAGTTTGATGCAGCCACTACTGGTGCACCTGAGATGCCTAAGATTTGTCCTCATTAATTTCGTGGCCAGGTGCAGCAGTTCGAGCAGTTGGTCACTCATTGCTTTGATCAGTTGGATGCTCGGCTCGATACACTTGATGGCCGCCTTGATCAACAAAGCACGATGCTTGCTTAGTTCTTTCTTTGCTTCAGATGCAGCAGCCACCTCCACCAGACTCATAGTTTTGTTTGCTTTTGGACAGTGTTTGAACTGTGTTTTTTGGACAATTTTTTATTTTATTTGACCTGTATATACTGTTTCTTTTGTCTCTCCCGGGCAAAAAGGGGGAGTATTGGTTTGTTTTTTGGGGGTATATATGGTTAGCATATATGGGATATATTGTTGTTGAATTTGTATACTCATTGTGGATTTTGCAAGCAAACTGGACATACTACTGGACATACTTTTTTTGTTTGCATGATGATATAGTTTTGATGTGTTATGTCTTAATCTGGTTTTTGATTCTGAACAACTACTATCTCATTGTTTTTCCCTGGTGGTGGTTTTCTATTTTTGTAGATATTTGGTCAAGGTTGTTTCGTTTGTTGAGTTGGTTGTTTTGTGTTGGTAGGTTGTTTTTGTTTGTGCTTGTGTTTTCTAGGAAACTGTTAGGAAGTTTTGTTCAGGAATTGACAAAGGGGGAGATTGTTAGGTCCCTTAGTCTTGTCAATCCCACAAACAAACTTGTTTAATCGAGTTGTAATGTTTCTAGTTGTTTTGTCTTGTTTGCTCGAGCGAAGGAGTCTTGCTCTCAAAAGCTGCTTCTGTCTGTTAAAAACCTGAGAAGGACGCCTGTACACTCGAGCGCAGGTAGCGTGGTTCAAGCGAAGCCACTTAAGGAAAACACGCGTATTTGGTTCCTCGTTCGAGCGAGAGAGTCTTTACTCGAGCGAGCTTCGCTGTCCCTGTTTTCTATAAGTATTTGTTTAAGTCCAAATCTAGGGTTACGTTTTTGAGATCTTCTTTAAGGTGTTTAGGGTTTTCTTTTGGGGTTGTTTACTAGTTTTTCTTGATGTCTTGATTGAGTATTAAACTCATGTTTTGATAAGCACACATCAAGGAGGTTGATTGTTCATATTCAAGAGTGTTCTTCTTTGGTGGAATCCGAAGATTCAAGCGTAGGGTGTTGAAGGAGTTTGATACTGTACGTAGTCGTTAATACGACAATAGATATTGTGGATTCAACATCAATCTAATCAATTCCGAGACGAAGGTTGCGGTAAAAGATATACAAAAGATTTGAAGACAAATTAGAAGCGTTTGGGTAATTTGTTCGGTATCTTTGTAATCTTGCTTTCTTCAGTAGTGGATTGATTTGCGACGTTTCGCCCATGGTTTTTTTTTATCACAATTGGAGGTGCTCCAACTGTGGTTTTTTCTACGTAAAAATCATTTGTGTCGATTTATTGTTTCAAAAACAATAATCTAAATCATGTTCGTACATGCTTGATGATTTAGATTGTTAGTTTTAATTGTTTAGGAATTGGTACAATTAATCCTTGATCTAATCATGAATCACCTCGGTTTTTCACACAAGAACTCCATTCTTCCAAACCACTACACTTTCCCTTTCACTCTCAAGGCCTTCTCTGGTCTCTGCGACCTCAAACAAGGGCAGTGCGTCCATCCCCAGATCATAAAAATGGGTCATTTAGTTGATATTTATGTTCAAAACTCTTTATTGAATGTGTACACGTTGGGTGGGAATATGGACTTGTGCCGGAAAGTGTTTGATGAAATGCCTCAGAGAGATGTGGTCTCATGGACTATTATGATTACCGGGTATCGAGAAGCTGGGAAGTTTGATGATGCCGTGGTTGCTTTTGAGAAGATGGAATATGCTGGTGTGGTGCCGAATCAAGTGACTATGGCGAATGCTTTGTCCGTGTGCTCGAGTTTTGGGGCCATTGACATGGGTATTTGGATACATGGTTTTATAAAGAGGAGGGGCTCAGTACTGGATGTGATTTTGGGAACTTCTTTGATTGATATGTATGAAAAATGTGGGAGAATTGAAGTGGGTTTGGCTGTTTTCCAAAGCATGAAAGAAAAGAATGTCTTTACATGGAATGCCCTTATTAGCAAAGAGTGGGCAGGAGGTGGTTTGGTGGTTTTCTCGAATGGTGCAAGAACGGGTTAAGTGTGTGCTTATAGTCATTCTGGTTTGGTACAAATGGGACAACAAATCTTTAGTACAATACGTGATGGAATTTTTGGATTTTCACCAGCAATCAAGCATTATGCTTGTTTGGTTGATCTATTTGCATGGTCTGGATATCTCGAAGAAGCTTTCAAGATCATAAAAGAAATGCCCTTTGAGCCACCTAAACCAGTCTGGAGAGCTTTTTTAGCTGGTTGTAGAGCTCATGGAAACCTAGAATTGAGTGAGTTAGCAGCTTGGAAACTCATAGAGTTGCAGCCAGAGAATAGCAGTTATTATGTTGTGCTGTCTAGTCTTTATGCATTGATGGGAAGATGGAGTGATGTGGAAAAGGTTAGGATGCTGATAAAAGAGAGGGGACTTAAGAAGAACCTTGGTTCTAGCTCAATAGAGCTTCAACCTCAGGATCACGTTCATGAGTTGCTAGCACAATACGTTTGTAGCATTCACATATAGAGAGAGAATCGGCATGTATGCAATCCAGCTGTTTGAATTCTTTCTTTGGATATAATAAACTTAGCAGCAGCAATTAGAGTTCATTTGGCTTCTAAATGAACTCTCACGTCGACATGCTATTTGTCAACTGATTTGCACAAACATTATATCCGACTCGAGGGCTGATGTTAACGTCCTGATTGAAAATGTGGTTTGCTGCTGTCTGAAGGAAATGAACTATAAATTAAGGGGATTGGATGCTGTAGATTTTGTTGGGATGTCTATTTGACTTGTAAATCAAGGACATTGGACTCTTCTGATTATGGGGTTCTCTCATTCATCAACTGTAAGCACCCATTAACTTTTTCTTCTCTTTCATTCTCTTTTTAGTTAGATGAGGAATTGAGGAATGACAGATAACTAGGGTTGATAAACATAAGTCCTTGCTCATTTAGGATTGTAATGTGGGAGTATTTCCTTTCATCAGATCCTTCCTAGGAGATAATCAGTTCCACAGTCACAAAGTCAGGTTGCATTTATCAACCAGACATAGAATGAATGTGTGGAATTTGTAATCATGCTTCAAATTTGGACAGAAAGAATAGGTTACAAAATTCCTTTGCATGCAACCGTTTGTTGATTTCAAGATTTCCCTTGGAAACTTTTTCGTTTTAATTTGGTTTAGTTTCTGTTCTTTGGTGATGAAGTATGATTTCTGTGACTTGAGAAACTGATATTTGTAAATTTGTTGATTGAACCCTTTGCCCCTGCCAATTTGCTTGTTATGCTGTCGGATAATTTAGAAGACATCAGTACCTCTGTTCTAGTGATTGCATGTCAAAGAATTTTTATTTTATTATTTTTTTTATAAAAAAAATTACCTTCCAGAACTGCTTCTCTTCACCATTTGTAAAATTCTGAACTTTTGTGGGCTGTGCTCAATTAGTGGTTCAAAATGGAAAAAAAGAATGCATACAATCAAAATATTCCACAAAGATAGGAAATTTTACTTCTTGATGGTCCTTGAGATACCAAATTATTTCATATTGACTTGGAAAGCTTACTGCTTTCGCAACCAATCGAAGGGATGAAAGACAGGAAGACTAGAAACAAACAAAGACAGACAGGAAATTGCAAGACAGGGTTGAGAGAACATTGCATGCTACATTGAGTACGAAGATTAACTTTAAGCATAATTGTTGGTTCGCATTGCCATGACCTTCGACCAGGTCGGCCTTGCCAGGATATCAGCGCACCAGGCGCTCACGTGGGGGTGGGAATCAAAGAACTTCTTTGCCTGAGTACCCATTAGGATTTGAGTGTCGGGCAGGTGATGCATGTTGGCCAATGTGAAGCATTCTCCGCCCAAGTACTTTGATTGAGCCAGCTGAGCCTCATACACGTCCAAAACCTTAGCCAGCTTCGCCTTGTTCTCCTCCACTACCGAAGCATCCATTGTCATGCCAAACAGAGGTTTAATAGCTAGCTCCCAACTCAGCTTTGAAGCCACAGGATCAAACTGGTGAGCCTCCACCTCCATCCACACGGATAGGATTACCATCTTCTTCGGGTACTGGCAAATCAGCTGGTTCCCCTTGTCCACATAAGTGTGTGCTATGTATTGATTAATTGCCCTTGACTCTGCAATACAACAGGCCAAGGAACAATAAAATAGCTATTGTATGAACTCTATATCAATAATTTGTGCATAGTTGATAGGCATTAATTCATTCATATAAAAGAGTTTCAAATCTCCATCTTCAAAGGCTGGTACTTGACCAAATGGCTACATCAATAGGACAAACAATTGTTAGACTACAGCTACTCTGTCCGTGGCAAGAGTTGCAGGTTAAGTGCTTTCATAGCTACAGAAACAAGGCAGATCCTTTTTTATGATGATCATATTAGCTAAGGCAATTTTGGCCCTTGAAATGTTAACTTTTATTATTATTATTTATTTATTGTAAAAAAAGAAAAAGAAAAGAGAGAAGAGATTAGTTATTTAATCTGATAAACTAGCTCAGATGTGTAAAATTTTAAAACCTCACTAATAGATCTAAAGTCATGCTTGATAGCTGGATTAAGTTGACTGAGATTATGAATATGTTGAAATTACACAAATCATGCCATGTCATTGTGAGTCGAATTGAGAAAACGTTTTTAAGGATTTCACGCAATTTCCTATCAAAAATAAAAACGAGTTCTTGGAATTTGAAATCATATTTCAATTATCCACAGGAAGAACAATCTACAAAATTCCTTTTATGTAACTGTTTGCTGATTTCAAGGCCTAGCTTTGAATCTTTTTCATTTTGGTTTGGTTTGGGAAGTTCCATTCTTTCGTGATGAAATGTGATTTCTCTAACTTGCTAAACCAATATTGGTATATCAGTACCTCTGTTCTAGCAATTGCTACTCAAACCATTTATTAAAAAAAAACCTGTTGAAAATCAAGCCACATCAGATGCCATATGCATCAAGCCCTTTTCTGCTTTCGGTGATTATTTAATTCATATGCTTTATTTAATTCAGACAACATCGTGTTCTTAATTGTTGGTTTGCATTGCCACAACCTTCAACCAGGCCGGCCTTGACAGGATATCAGCACACCAAGCACTCACATGTGGGCGCGAATCAAAGAGCTTCTTAGCCTGAGTACCCATCAAGATTTGAGTGTTGGGCAGGTGATGCAGATCAGCCAAGGTGAAGCAGTCTCCACCAATGTACTCGGAGTGAGCCAGCTGAGCCTCATACACGTCCAAAACCTTAGCCAGCTTCGCCTTGTTCTCCTCCACTACTGAAGCATCCATTGTCATGCCAAACAGTGGTTTAATAGCTAGCTCCCAACTCAGCTTCGAAGCCACAGGATCAAACTGGTGAGCCTCCACCTCCATCCACACGGATAGGATTGCCATCTTCTTCAGGTCCTGTGCGTGCAATGTATTGGTTAATTGCTCTTGACTCTGTAATCCAACCACCCAAGACATCATAAAATATGGGCGCACATAATTAGAACACAAAAAATGCATTGTGTAATTGAGATTTGTTTTAAACATGATCTCAATTTGTTTTAAACATGATTCATACCCACATCCGGAATGAATCAGCCATACAAATACAATGTAAAATTTTAAGTTTATATGTAGCTAGCATTTCATTGATCATATCAATTAATCAGTGCATATAGTAGCCAGGAATCAGTTTATACCAAAGAGCTTCAGATCTCCATCTTCTAAGGCCGGTACTTGACCAAATGGCTACATCAAGACCACAAACAATTGTTAGAACTATATTTGAAATAAGAAAAAGAAAATAGACTACACGTACCCAGTGCATGGCTTGATTTACAAGTTTAATGCAGCATTTGGATCATGCATTTTGATAGAAATTTTAAAATGAAATAAGATTTTTTTTTTTTTTTTTCAAATTACTATCCAAATCTTAGAGCCAAATACATCGTAACTGCTTTCCTAACAAAAGAAACAAGACACAGTTTTTATTTATTTATCGATATTTTTTTTTTATTACAATCATATTAGCTAATTAAGAAAGACAAACAATTTTGGCCCTTCAAATGTTAATATTTATTCATACAATTTTTGCATATAAGAATTAAGAAGGGAAGAGGCTACCAACTTGGACTAACCCATTGACTAGAATTCTTACCCTATTCTGGCAGATCAAAGTTCAATTTTTTGTCACAGGCAAAACTTCTTCTCCCCACACCAAAAATAGAAAACTCAACAAAACTTACTCTCCCCAATCTACCCCATACCCAAAAAAGAGACCATAGGCTTGTTCGATTCGGCTCTAAAATCTTAAATTTTAGTGTGAATTTGTTGTGGAAGGAAAAATAAAAAAAAAGCAACAGAAATGTGAAAAAAGTTGAGCTTTTCCTGCTATTTTTCTTTTCTTCCACGAATCCTTACTAAAATCATAAATTCAAAACACAACATTGGTGGTGGTGTGCTTTCCTTGGTCATATAGACTTTGTTGATGACAATCATATAATATGAGCTAAGAAAGACAAGTATGTGTATGGTTTTGAGTTGATGATGTTTTTGTTTATCTACTAACATTGAGAGAAAGGAAATGAGGTTGTTTGTGCTCGCCGGATCTCATGTCAACCGGAACAAACTCGAACTCGAGCTCTTTCTCGTTTAGGCAAGCAAACACTCGCTGTGCTGCCGTCGACATTACACTTCCGTGGACCTTCATTGTCGCGAAACTGTTTGATAATAGATCAAAAAACCAAAGAGAAAAAGAATATGAAAGAGAGAATACGAGGGAGAGAATGATATCTAAGGCTAAAGAGTTGATGTACGAATTTTTATAAGGTGAGAATGGGCCATCACTTTTTCATCTTCTTGCATTACTGCGATATGGGTGGGTGACCACGTTCCTCTTTTTCCACAATACTTTAATTGGGTTGATCCACTTATAAATATGATAAAATTAAAAAAATTATAATAATTGAATTTAATTAATGATACAATGTGCTCTTTAACGATTGGAATCGCTAAAACTATTCATTGTGTTTGGTTCCTATTTTCTAAACTTATTTTTTTTGAAAATTTTGAAATTTTTGTTTGATTATTTTGAAAACCGGACAAAGTTTTCAAAATCTAGCTTCTGGTTGCTTTTCTTGAGTTTATTCCTCACTTGACCAGCCAGAGCATCAGTAGTACAGTTTATATGACTCTACTCCTAGACGGATCAGGGGTGACTATGGTAGTCCCTCACTGCGGTATTTGCCATGCATGTAAAACGACACCGTCTTACGTTTTGTATTTATTTTTTCAAGGGTTATTAATTACAGTACCAACTATCCCATTAAGATTAGGTGATATCCTAAAAGCACAGTGGGTGATGTAGAGTTTATTACTCATTTTACTTTTTTAATGTATGGTTCATATTAGAGGAAGAATTAACAGTTAAACTATGTCATTTTGATTATTTTTGAAGCAAACAATTCAAATAATTTTCAAATAGACTTAATTAGTAAAAAAAATTATAATAAAATAAAAAAAATGATCATGAAAGATTTGTGACCCTTAGATTACCTTGATTAGTGTGTGGTGCTTTATTCTAAGGGTAATCTAAAGGTCACAAATCTTTCATGATCATTTTCATGAAAGATTTTTCATGATACCTAGCATTGCTGTATCCTAAAAGCACAATGGGTGATGTAGAGTTTATTACTCATTTTACTTTTTTAATGTATGGTTCATATTAGAGGAAGAATGAACAGGTAAACTATGTCATTTTGATTATTTTTGAAGCAAACAATTCAAATAATTTTCAAATAGACTTAATTAGTAAAAAAAATTATAACAAAATAAAAAACACTCATTAGTTTTTTTGTATAATTTTATATTTTTTTGAAGTTGAATAACTTTTAAAATTTTAAAAATATCTTCTTTAATATTTATTTTTGTCAAACTAAATTGGATTTTTTTTAAAAGATTAATTTTGAAATTAAAATCAAACAAATTATACATGTTTTGACTATTTCAAAATTTGCTTAAATGCATCAAAAGTGTAATTGAAAGGGGCGAATGCAATCTAAAAAGAACGAGTATTTTTTACTTTATTATAATTTTTTATTTAAAAATTATTTGAATTGTTTGCTTAAAAAATAATCGGGTAATTTAACTGTTCATTCTTTCCTTAATATGAAATAAAAGGTAAAATAGGTTACAAACTTTATATACCACCTAATATTAGTGTGATGGTTGGTACTGCCTCACCCTCACTATTGAAAAAAATGTAAAGCAAACTTTATATCACCCCTTTTGTCTTTAGTATACCACCTAATACTAGTGCGATGGTTGGTACTGCCTTCACCCTCATTATTGAAAAAAATTGTAAAACAGTGCCGTTTTACGTGTACGGCAAGCACTGCCGTGAGGAACTACCCCTAATCCCGAGTCCGGATCCCCTCCTTATCACCTCTCCTTCATCTCCTCCTTGCAACGGCTGAGATCAGCCGTTGCAAATCCAACAGCTAAAAAAAAAATTAAAACAAATTCAATTCGATTTTCCCGCCCAAAGTGAAACAGAGCTATACAGCTTTATACACAGTCTCCTTCTCACTCAGCCCCTTCCTCCTCTACCAAACCCACCATCACCGGTGACCTACCATCACCGGTGACCCACTCCCAACGACGGAGAGAAGCTCCTGAAACACCGACGAGAAGCTCCCGACCTCTGTTTTCCTTCTTTCTCTCTCTTGATTTTCTTCCAAACCTTAGGCTGGTGGACAGAGGTCATAGTTATATAAATTAATTGATGTTTCTTATTCATTAACCTTGGCTCTGGAAATATGAGAAGATTGATAAGTGATTGGGGTTTGAAGCTTTCTTTTGTTTAGCTATCTTGTTCCAAAGGTTTTATAGTTCAAAACTTCATATAAACCTCAAGTTATTTTTGTTGTCATTTTGCCTTCACTGATACTCTCTGCACCTCTAAAATGTTATGGTATTTGTTGTTTGTTGCAGAGATCTGTTGTCCATTAATGCTTTGAACCTATTTACTATGTATATACAAATTGTCTCAAAGAGGGTAGTTGTTCTATTGGAAATTAATTTTAAAAGTTGCATGCTGGGACCATTCTCTATGTATTTTGTGAAAGAAAATTCACTCTATTTGCTTTTCTTTTATGAGTTTTCTTGATATGGGTTGTCAAGCTTTTTGTTTGTTTGCTTTTCTTTTAGTTTGCTGCTGTGTTTTTTTAATTTTTTTTCCTTTTTAGGCTATCGACAGGCACAAAGAGGCGGAACGCACTGGAAATTTCAGAGCAGCTCATAAACGAAGGTTTCTTCCTTAATGTTGCTGATCAAACTGTTGCTGTTCATCATGTTGAAAATTGTTGCTGAAAATTGTTCATCATGTTGAAATTGGGCTGGAACTGTGTTTTATTAATGTTGTTGATGTAACTTATAGAATTGGTGTTGGAACTCATAGATTGGTGTTCATAGTTGTTAATTTGTATTTTGTATTTATAGATTGGTGTTCCATTTTGTTGCTGAAATTGATAATGTGTGGAGAATTGAATGGAAAATGGAAAGCCCTTGCCTACAAAATGGATTGTGAAGAATTGAATGGAAAATGGAACTCAGGACCATTTGGCTTCTGATATACATTTATCCATTTAGCAAGATTGGTGAGGTTGATTTGAGTCTAGTGTTTCTTCTTTTTTTGGCACAGGAGTAAATCCAAACATTAAGCAAAATGACCATAGTTTTACTACATAAAAGTAGTGCTTGCTTGGACACACTAGTCAAAATTTAAACTGGACATCCGTAAAAATTAATGAAAATATTAAAAGAAGTTTGCAAAAAAGAAACACAAGTCAAAATTTAATTTGACAAATTTTGGTTTATTTGTCTTTGGTGAATTTTTTGGGGTCAAATTTTAGCAGATGGCAGCAGCAGCATGGAATGCTTCTCTAAAATTTCATTTGATGGACTTGGTCAATACAAAACTCATCTCATTAATATAGACCCATCATCCAAACAATCACATGATGCAAAGCTCCAACATACAAACTGTTTAAGCTAGTTATATCAAACTAGTTATATCAGAAAACCATTCAAAATCATCCGTCAAAATCATCTGTAATTCTTTAACACTTTTGAACATGTAACTAAATCAACATTTCATTGAGGCATTTAAACAAACATCTGAAATTCACAAACAACTCAACCCAAAATTCTATAGATCAATAGCCACTGCAAATCCACAAACTTACAAATCATTATAAAAATAAGAAAAAAAAACCTAAAATGCAGATTTCTATTTCTCCAAGCCACTGCAAATCCACAGACTTACAAATCATTATACAAATAAGAAGGAAAAAAAAAACTAAAATGCAAATTTCTATTTCTTCAACCATCTTCAGTTTTCAGATTGACTCCTATTTTCTGGTGAAATCTCGTCAATGACTTTCAAATCAACGAACGATATAAGGGAGGGCAGAGTTGCAATACCAAGTGGTGGCAATAATAGTAGACGACGACGACGACAGTGACGAATGGTTCCGGTGATCATTGGCGCCGGCGGTGGCTTTTGTTTGTTATGCAAGTGTGAAGAAATGGAGAGAGAGAGAGAGAGAGAGAGAAGAGATTGAATGAGGAAGACAGAGAAATGTGTATATATATAAGTTAGGTTTGAAATCAGAATTTTCAAACTTCCCTCTATTTCCAAGGCTGCAAATGGTTTGGTCTCAGCCGTTGCAAGGAGGAGATGAAGGAGAGGTGATAAGGAGGGGATCCGGACTCCCTAATTCCTCTTGGACTGCCTATTGCTTTCTTTATTACCTTCACCAAACCATTTGCAGCCTTGGAAATACAAATTTATGAATTGGAAATTGAAAATACAAATTTATGAATTTCAACACCTTAAAATTATGTTGTAAGTATTAAACAAATTACATAGAATTAAATTTTTATAAATGTTATGCATAAAATTTATTTTATCATAAAATACCGTAACATTAACACAAACATGTGTAACATTATCAGAAATTGGCAATAAGAAAATGTCCAAATTTTTTGAATTTGATGTTGCAAAAGTTTGTAAGTTGGTTACAATTTTTTTTTATGCCAATTTGTAAAAAAAGTAACATCATCAGAAATTGGCATAAGAAAATGTTCAAATTTTTTGTATTTGATGTTGCAAAAGTTTGTAAGTTCGTTACGATTTTTTTTAGGAAAAATTAGTCTAAGGTCTCTCTCTCATTTTTAGTAATGGAAGAGATCCACAATATTATTTTATGATGTCTAAAGCCCCTCAACCCCCACACCCATATATCACAGAGAAATTTGACTTTCACAAATCAAACTTCATTTTTCTTTCTCTACTTCAATACTGTTTAAACCCTAGCTCTCACCAATCTTCTCCTTCTCTCTCTACAAAAATGGCAAACAACGGTCAACTACTCGCTGAGATTGTGATTTTGAAAGGTATGATTTAATATATTGCAAAAAAATGGTCTAATCCACTCGCTGATATGAATGCTTTTTATGATTTCATCAAGAAATCGTTGCACATTGATGTTAGCAAAACCCAATTGTTTGAAAAAGTGAGGAGGTTGAAGAAGAAGTATAAGAACAATGCTAGCAAGAGTAAAATGGGCGAGGATCGGATTTTTTCGAAGGCTCATAAACAAAAAACGTATGAATTGTCGAAAAAGATATGGTTTGGTGGAGCTAAGTCTATAGGTGTTGATAGTGCAAAGGTTAATGGGAAAGCAAAGAATAATCAGAGTCAAAGAGCTATTGCAGCTTCACCAAGGGGTTGGTAGTGGGAAGGAAGAAACAAAAATGCAGGTTGAGCCAAGTGTAGGGGTGTCTCTCTCATAATTTAACTTGGTTTTCAATTTTTTCGTCTGTGAATTTTGTATTTTTCTACAACTTGTGTTTAGCTCATATTCACTGTAATTTATGTGACTGAATGAGAATTGGTTCTTGCTCTGTTTTGTTTCTGTGAAATTTTCCTTCCAGATTTGGTCATATTGAATCTGAATTAAGTTTGTTTGTGCTAGAACTTTTGGTAAATTTGTTTTCTTGTTAGATTGTTCTTCTTTACTCTTTTGGGAATTGCTTATTCCAAGGCATATTTTGGGAAGTGATTTTGTTTTGGAATTTCTCTGGATTCCCAGAATTTCTCTGAGGAAGAAGATGATGAGCAAAGAAGATGATGATGAAGGCTTTAGAAATTTTTCTAGGAAGTCAAAATTTCTCTGAACTTCTCAGAATTTTCTCTGGACAAAGAAAATGATGAAGGCTTTAGGAATTTCTTTGGACTTCTCAAAATTTCTCTGGACAAAGAAGATGATGAAGGCTTTTGGAATTTCTTTGGGAAGTCCAGAATTTCTTTGGACTTCTCAGAATTTCTCTGGACAAAGAAGATGATGAATGCTTTAGAATTTCTCTCTGACTTCTCAGAATTTCTCTGGATAAAGAAGATGATGAAGGCTTTAGGAATTTCTCTGGACTTCTTAGAATTTCTCTGGACAAAGATGAAGGCTTAAGATAGAAATTTCTCTGGAAAGTTCAAAATTTCTCTGAAGAGTGAAGTAAAGAGAAATTTTCATTCTCTGGGCTGAATTTTCCTTAGATCGATGTTAAGGGACCTTAGACATTATGAAAATATTGAGTGTCCTTTATGCTATAAAATCTTAATACCAGAGACTTTAAAAAAAAAAACCCCTTTTTTTTAATGCCAATTTGTAAAAAAATTACATTTTCTATGATTTAAATGAATGAAAATTTTATGATAAAGTCACACATTTAATAATAGGATATGTACCCATAAATAGATACATACCAAATTATACTTTCATACATATATAGTATGTACATATATATATATATATATAAAACTAACATGAGAGTATTTTTTGATGTGACAAATTTTTTTTTTTAAAATTGTCTCTCTCCTTAAATTGGAGGGAAACTTAAATTTGTAATAATACATTTTTTTGAAAACCAAATAAAGATCTTTTTTTCAAAATAGAGTTTTCAAATCATTTTTTCAAAAAATAATTCAAAAAAATGGAACCAAACATGATGTTTTAAATTATAAATAAATAATTACACAATTAAAAAAAGTAATTATCTAATTTCACAAGTGCTTGCATCTAGGTCCAAATGCTTCCCGCATGTGGGGTATTTGTGACCTCCCCGTGAGGTTTGAGGTTCAAACCTTATAGTTCTTCTACACCCAAGTTTTTAAAGAGGGTTAATTTTGTAATCAATAATAAAAAATCATACATCAATTAATTTAGCAATTTTCTTTCTAATCCAGCCATGTATCAAATTAAAATCATTTATTTTTATTATATAATTTTTATATTTTGATTTTGATTTTATCATTAATTTTATTAACTTGAATTACATTTCATAAGTTAATAACTAATCAATTATATAATGTCCCTACCACTATTGTTTCTAGAATAATCAGTTGTAATATGCTTCTTTTGATCTTGAAAATTCCTTTTAAAATGGAAGTTGAAGAAGAGTGCTGCCACTGTTAAAAGCAACAAAAAACATGCATCATGGTTTCATTAATGACTTTCCAGCGACCTTATATCATCACCCACATGTTATATTACTCACCATTCAATTTTCATACTAATTTGGGAAAAAAAAAAGAGTCAAACTACCCTTGGTAGGCGAGCAAGTGTTTTTGTGCCCTCCAATGGACCATGAGGTTTGGGGTTGAAGCCCTAAGATCACAAGCCCAACTTTTTAGAAAGGGTTAACTTTAGGAGAACTTATTCAAAAGTGCAAGCTCAACATATCATGGTCCATTTAGTCTCAAAACAAATTTAACACTCCATTAAGTTATCAAATTATCAATTAGACGAAAATACCCACACTATATCATCCAATTTACACGTGCGCAACCTTCACCCACGATCATCTCAGTCTGATCAGTACGCTGTCACATCTCCGCCGCTCGACTCTGCATTCTCACTCCTCGATCTCTCCACCGTTCAACTCCTCTACCTCTGAAACCCTATCCTAACCACAACACGAATCCGTTCATCTTCTCCAATTGTCGACTCTTACCAACACGACACCATGCCGTTCATCTTCTCCAATCGACGACTCTCCACAACATGAAGAACCATCACGACTTTGAAGAAATTTCATAATTCCTGACTTCCGATTCACAGAAATGGAGAAAAAAAGTAACATCTCTCTTTACCTATTATTTTTAATTCAAATTTGTACATTATTCTTTCATATTTCGTATATACGGTTTCAATAACACTTTCATAAAAAAAACCTTGTAAAACACATTTTATATACTTCAAAATGTATAAACCTTCTTTTATATATAATTCTCTATTTTAAAACATTCTAGTCCTCTGTTTTTAAACATTCTAATCCATGTTTTTACACATTCAACTCCTTATTCTTATTCTTGTTGTTCTTGCTTCTTCTTGTTGTTAAATATTGGCTTTTCTTCTTCGTATTGTTACTGCATTTCGTTGAATACTTAATCTTCTCATTGTTATTGTTGTTGTTTACAAAATACAATGGGTTGTTCTTATTGTTGATAATGTTTATAAAACTGAAACATTAGACAATTTTATCACTCTACAAGTAATATATCTAAATTTATTCAAACTACAAATGAAACTGCAAAATTATACAGTTTAATCACTATTCAAAACAAATAGGTAACTTATTATAAAGTGCAAATCAAACTGTCAAATTATACAGTTTTGTAACTATTAACAACAAATAGATATAACTTCATATTAAGCTGCATATAAAACTGCAAAATTATACTATTTTGTCACTATATTACTCATGCCCTGTTGTCGCTTTCAATTTTTCAGAAATAGCTGTTGGAAGATATTGGAAGAAACAAACCCAAATGCCTAAAAATCCAAGCAGGGATTTAAGTATCTCCCCTTTTGACAATTCTTCGCCTGTATCCACTGAAATGCCACCAAAATCTCACTCCCCTCAAAAACCACAACCACCACAACCAAAAAAACCCATAAAACAACCGCACTACCTACAAGAAAAATCCTAAGAACTACACCACAGACCACAGACCACAGCCACACAACAAACATCAACCACAAAAAAAAAAAAAAAAAAAACAAAAAAAAAAAAGAAAACCAACAAAAAAACATTGCACAACACACCATATTTTATTCATCTTGGGGATCCACCCCGATCACACTTTTACAGACCAAACAAAAAAAAAAAAAACAAAAAAAAAAAAAAAAAA